ATTCTTTCCACTAATTAAACAAATAAGTAGGTACAAAAAGAGTAATGACAAAAATAGTGGCAGCATCAAAGTGTTTCCCAAAAACCTCCAAAATAATCCTCACTATTTTTCTTCTCCCTCGTTTTAAGAAGCCCTTCTAAAACGCTAACACTCTCTTGCTACATTTTCTCTTTCCTGCGTGTGTTGTGCGTTCTGCCTCCTGCCTCTAATTTTATAGGCAGGGTTAACCGCGTAGGAATGCCGTGTACACACTCTTTCAAGTTGCCACCGCCATGTGCAGCAATTCAAACCATCACTGTTGAACTAGCTGCTCCTATTTTTTTTTTCTTATTTCCACATGTGGGTCCCATTTAAGTGGGGACACCACACAACTTCTAAATACCTGAAATCGCTTTTGGAAATATTGATTGTGGATATTGCAAAACTTTTCAATTAGGTTATTTTTGGTTGTTTAGCAAGAAACCCACTCAACTAAAAATTGAAACTAGTAGGTGAGCTTTCAGAATAATTTACAAATTTCAATTAAGGGTTGGGTGTCATTAGAAACACTTACATTTTTTAAGTAAGTATGAGTATTTTATCTTTATGAACTGGGAGAAATTTTTATAGGTGCATTGCTTTCTTTTATATACCTAACGTTGTGCAAGTAATATTTGAATTTACCTAATGGGTTGGAAACCTATAAAATATAATAAAAGATAATAATCTACAAATTCCTTTTTTTTTTTTTTAAATTTGAACATTAAGGGAGGGCGGATAACAACCTTAAAATCAATTACAGATAGTATATGCACTTATCATTAGACTAGACAAAATGACAAATTGACAGCACAAAATATTTTTTTTTTCCAACTTTATAGAAGGAAAATTTTCTTTTAGCCATGTGAATGGCTTTTTTTTTTTTTTTTTCTTTTCTCTATTGGGTGCATAAAGATAAGAAGGCAAAAAACTAACTAGATGTAAAGCAATACAAACTACAATTAATGAGAAATGGAAAGCAGATCCAAGAGGAGGCTGATCCAAATTTAATTCACATTTTGTTAATTTTAACAAATATCCTAAATAAAAATTCGTAAATTTTAATTCTTATTAATATAATATGCAGTAGATTAAAATATTAATTATCAGGAATATAGTTGCCTTTCATTTAATTCAAAACCCGTCTCTATGTGTTGTCACATTCTTTTTTTATGATTAAGGTTATTATCAAATTTAAGTTTAAATGTCTTAATAACTTTCTTTGCAAATTCAGTTCAAAACTCATTTCTATATTTAATTTATACATTTAAAATAACTAATTGAATCTTAATTAAACAAGAAATAAAAAAAAACTCACTTTATTAATTGTACCTAAGCACTGTTCTATAAATATTTGTCACATTTTTAAATTTTAACGTTCTTTAGAAACTATTAAATTTGTCTAAATACATAAGTTAATTAATAAATTCACTATTAATTACCTTAATTTAATTCTAATTCTCTAAAAAGAACTATTAAATTGGGAAGTGATAAATTATTGGTTATAAATAAAGGAATATTGAAAAAAAATATTTATTACTCCCTTGAACTTTACAAATGTAATAAATATTTTGAAAAATAAATTATTTTTAAATGCGCAGCAAGTATTTTGGAACCGGAGGATTAGGCATGCTTTCATTATGGAAAGTTTTTATTAATTTTGAGAAAGTTTTAAAAGGCTTTCTTTCTTTTTTATTGAGATAAATGAAAGATAAAGTCAACTGATTAATTAAGTGAGGTATTGTCCTAATCATTGAAAGGATGAATTCCATATATTAATAATAATTAAAAATAACTAATATAATATTTGATTTTCATAGTCACTCATTTGTAAATGCTGAGCAGGTGTCCATCTCACTCTAAAAGAAATATAGAGACTTCCTTATAAATAAAAATTTTTTGGTTATTTAAAATCTTCATTCCATTAGTATATTTAATTTTTATATGGAAAATATTAGAAAATTGCCATTGGTATTTTAGCTACTTTTTCCCTTTTATAAGGAAGATTTTTTCACACAAATAAGGATACAATAAATTAGAAATATATCAAATAATTAAAAAAATTTATTGTAATTTCAATAAAAGAAAGTAGCATATAGATTCCTAACCCAAAAAAAGTAAATTTTTTATTTGTATATGACTAAGAGTTATTAATTTTTAAGTTATTATATTATAATATAATTTTCATTTTTGTCCGCCTAAATTTTGTAAAATACGAATATATAATTTGTCTAAAATCAAACTTTTGTAACATTTTTGCCCTTCGCACTAAACAATCAAAAGTTCAAATTTTTTTGAAAATAAAGTAAAAAAATAATTTTTTAAATTTTTAGCTTGTTTGTTTTCCAATTAATAAAACACCTAAAAAAATCTTCACGTATTAAGAATACTTTTTATTTTATTTTTTGGGTAAAAAAATTTTGAGTTTTTTATTATTTGACCGGGAAACTGGGGAAGATAAATTAATATATTTGAGCAAAATGAGCCATTATTTCTGTAATAGAATCAGCAATTCCATTTGGAAATTTTAACTCTAAAACTTAATTAATGATGATTTTGTTTTATTTAAACGGAATCTTATTTGATGATCACAAAATAAATGTTGCATTTTCAGAAAATGAAAGGAAGGAGTTGGGGGACCTGGGGGAGATGTAGGACTCTATTTGTAATAAACTTGGGGCTAAAACACACAGGGATAATGACTCTAATGAACGACAAGACAAACCAGCATACCCAGCAATTATGCGCCATACCAACTCCAAGTGAAAATAACTTGCGTGCGCCTTTGCTTTCCCCTAGACAAGTTCTTCTCCTCAAGAGAAACTCATTTGTCAGTTTCCATCATCACCACAAACAACTGTAATGTGTCCATTTCTAATTAGGGAACAATTGACCGACTCCATATCCCAAAAATCCAAGACGCGCCTTGTGTTTTTCTTCTCTAAGACGTTCTTGGGAAGAGAATAATTAATAACAATGGGCTTAAAAACTTTTTAAAAGCACTGTTCTTTAGTGCCTAAAACAGTCGGTTTAAAAGGCAAAGAACCAGTCAGCCCATCCCCCAGTCACCAACGTATACAACCTCTCTCTCTCTCTCCTCTCTACTTATTCTTTTTTTTCTTGGTCATAAGAGCCTAACAAGAAAACAAAAGAAACACTCTGCTAAGTGACAATCGAAAGTACATTTACAATAGTACCAAAGAAATGCGTTTCTTTTCTCTCACATTATGGCAACTCTCCCTCAGATCACCATTCTGTTGAATTCTCTTTTCTCTTTCCCTCTTGCAAACCACCTTACTTCGAAACAGGTTAAACGAATACCTCTTTCCTTCTTTTCTTTTTTTCTTTATCGTTTTTTATTAGTCTTGTCAAAGTTCGGATTTTTTTATTTGTTCTTGATGATGTTAAATGAATAAATGGGTTTTGCTTACTTAGCATAATTTGTTTTACGTTTCTTGAAATTGCTTATTGTTTGAGACTTTGATTAATGATCAGAGTTACCATAATGACAAATTTGGTTAAAGCTTGCTTCTTGAAATTTTCTTTTTGAGTGAAAGTTTTTGTTTCTTTATTAAAGTTGAAAGACTATTGTTTTCTTGATTTCTGTTTTTGACGGAAAATTTTGGTTTCTTGATTTTGAATAAATGAGGAAACGGGGTATGGCGGATTTGGTCTATGATCTCTTTTGGGTGTTTAGATTACGTGTTTTCTTGAAAGCTAAAGCTTTTGTCTTGCTGCCATGAATGCTTTAGTATATTGGTTGTTGATGATGCAAGACTTTTCAATAGAGATTATTTTCGATTGTGGCCATTTAGTATGAATACAACTAGGAAAACACAGTTTGGAAATGTAAACTAAACCATGTTCTGTTGCCTTTCCTAATAGGAAAAACAAAATAAACAGTAATGTAATTAGTCTTCAATTTGCTTTTAGGATTTGCTAGTCATGTATGGCAACATACTCAATTGCTTTAAATATTTTTGCCAAAAAAAAAAAAAAAAAAAAAAAAAAATAAAAAAAAAGAAAAAAAAAGAAAGAAAGTTGCTTACCGTTCTTGTTGAAGGGCTTGTTGTTTGTCTTTTTTTTTTTAAATTTTTTTTTTTTTTATAATCGCCTGAGTGAGTTCTCTTCATAATTAGTTATTCCAAAATTAGTGCAAAGATGAAAGATTAAATGAAATATTGTCCTCTTTCCTAGTCTGTCCTTTTAAACGGTCATGACATTTAATTGTTTGAGTTTTAGTCCATTTCTCCACTGAGAAAGTATCAATAAGTATTTTTATCTCTTATTACTTAGTTTTATTTTATTTTCTGATCCAAGTGTTCTGGGTTTGTCCGGCTTTTTCATGAAGGGCCTATGATGCCGCTTTGACCCCAAATGGAAATATTACAACATGGATATTATTAGCTGGACGCCTGATGGATTATGTTGTAAGTATTGATTAATTTATATGTATCTATTATTGATATTACCTTATATTTTGCACAAGGAACAAAGGTCTGATATCAGACAATTTCTTTTAATTTTTTTTCCCGGTCTTTTTTTTTTTTTTTTTTTTTTTTTTTGTGAGCTATAGCATGTTATTATTTGGTGTTTTGGTAAACAACTTATATTTCATATCTTGCCATATGTTTTTTTTTTTTTTTTTTTTTTTTTTTGTGAGCTATAGCATGTTTATATTTGTGTTTGGTACAACTTATATTTCATATCTTGCCATATGTAATTAGCTATAATGTTGGGCTGCATCATAGCTAGCTTAAGAGGACTGGTAAACCAGATTCTGAATATTTTTTCCAAACTGTTTCTGTGAAGTTCTTCAAGCATTTAGTTAATGCCTTTATTAATTTGAAGTCTTATGTTCCTGGTTGAACTTTAATGCCTTTATTTCACTAAAGTTGGAAGTACAAAAAATTATCATTTTAAGTTACACTCGTTTGATGATGTTTTATTCTGTAATTTTGTTCACTGCTGTCAAAATCAATTAATATCTCTATTGAATGGACAGGCTGTTGTTACAATGTACAATTTCCAGCAATATCGCCACATTGAAGCACCAGGGTGGACATTAGGGTGGACATGGGCAAAAAAGGAGGTAATATGGAGCATGGTGGGAGGTCAAGCAACAGAGCAAGGAGACTGTTCAAAATTCAAAGGAAATATTCCACATTGCTGTAAGAAAAGTCCAGCAGTTGTTGATTTGTTGCCTGGAACTCCTTACAACCAGCAAATTGCAAATTGCTGCAAAGGGGGAGTAATCAGCTCGTGGGCACAAGACCCGTCCAAAGCGGTAAGCGCATTCCAGCTTAGTATTGGTGCTGCAGGAACCACCAATAAGACAGTCAGATTGCCTAGAAACTTCACACTGAAGGCACCAGGACCTGGTTACACGTGTGGGCCAGCAAAAATTGTTAGACCTAGCAAATTTCTTACTCCTGATAAAAGGAGAGTAACTCAAGCTTTGAGTAAGTTGACTAATGCAGTCCTTTTTCAAATAGTCAAGATTGATTCTAAGTCACAGCTTCATTTTGTGCATTTCTGTAAAATCGAATACATTTCATATTATTACTTGAGGTGCTTAAATTCATTTCTTGATTTGTTGTTATTTAGATTAAAAAAAAAAAACATATTGTAGAATTTGCAGTCTCAAAGAAACAGTAGTTTTGTACTTATTTTCAGAAACAAGTTCTTTCCTATTAATCAGTTAAAAATGTGTCCATGGAGATGTGTAAGTGACATCTGATCAATTTATTGCAGTGACATGGAATGTTACATGTACATATTCACAATTCCTTGCTCAAAGGACTCCTAGTTGTTGTGTTTCACTCTCATCTTTCTATAACGACACAATAGTGCCCTGCCCAACATGTTCTTGTGCCTGCCGAAGCAACAATTTTCTGCCAGGTGGTTGTATAGAGTAAGTGAATTCAACCAAAAAAACAAAAAAAAATCTTCCTTCCTTCTAGTTTTAGAACGTATAGGTTCCTTTTTAATACTGCATTTATATTTATTTTTTTAATTTATGTCAATTCTTTATTTTTACTTACAATTCTTTTATTGGTTTGCTTTTTTGCAGTCCGGATGCATCACATTTGGTTTCAGCAGTTTCCAGTTTAGGGACAAACAGACTTGCACCTGTTATCCGATGCACGGATCATATGTGTCCAGTCAGAATTCATTGGCATGTCAAACTTAACTATAAAGCGTACTGGAGGGTTAAGATCACAATTACAAATTTTAATTACAATATGAACTATTCACAATGGAACCTGGTTGTTCAACATCCCAACTTCAACAATCTGACACATATATTCAGCTTTAACTATAAGTCATTGAATCCTTATGCAGATATAAGTAAGTTATAGCTTTTCTTTAAGTTGCTCTTATTTGCTTTTCTGTTATTTATGGTTTAAACAGATTTAGCATATTTAAGTCCTTCTATCCATTACATTTCATTCGACAGTAACGGGATATGCATTTTTTTTCCCATTGAAATGCACGTATTAATTATGCTTTATAGAAGATATGAACTCTTGCCATATTGTGCTTTTGCAACAGATGATACAGCCATGTTATATGGAATTCAGTTCTACAACGATTTGCTCATGCAAGCTGGCCCTGCTGGTAATGTGCAGTCAGAACTTCTTTTCCAAAAGGATAAAGCAACTTTTACCTTTGAGAAGGGTTGGGCTTTTCCTAGAAAGGTCTATTTCAATGGTGATAACTGTGTGATGCCACCTCCTGACGCCTATCCGTGGTTGCCAAATGGTAGTTCTCGCCAGCTTACTTCACCAATTATACTAATAATGACCTTGTTTTCTGCATTGGCTTTCTTATACAGATTTGTATAAGCTAGCAAACATTTGCTGCAAAATACTATAGAGTTCAAATTTTGTTCGATCTCGACCCTGGTATTAATTGGAAGCTGACTGGAAAGTTGATTTGTTAATGCCATGCACTCCAGCATTTGACTGCAGTTTCTGTTTAATGCGTTTGTGGGTTTTTAGCTATTATTTTGTTACTTTGTAGCTGTTATCTCCTTTGTAGAGTTCTCCAACAATACAATTACAATGTAACAAAGTTTGGGTAAATGAATGCTTTCTGTATAGAGAAGTTTGAGCTAATTTTTTGCTTCTTGATTTTGTTATTTTTCTTCTTTCTATTTTTTTTCACATTTGAATCATTTTATATATTGAATATATACATACACACACACTTGGCGAAATGAAAAAGAATGCCAATTCTGCAGTGGAACTGTGAGTAAAATTACTAGAGAATGATAAACAAGAAAAACAACGTAGAAATTAATGTCAAGAAGGAGATAAGGGATCCATCTGCAGAATTCGGCAGAAAAGGGTATGCATCTGGTGGGGGTAGCATGCATTCATCGCCATTGAAGTAGACTTTACGCGGAAATGCCCATCCTTGCTTGAAGGTGAAGGTGTTCAAGTCCTTTTGAAGAAGCACTTCTGACTGGACATTTCCTAAAGGCCCTGCTTCCATTAACACATCATTGTAATATTTCATTCCATAGAACATCCCTGTGTCATCTGCATAATCAACATAACAGGTAATGTCAAGCCCTTTTGGCTAACAGTTCGGATTTGGGAACTCTAGTTTAGTATTTGGAGATATATTTCAAAATCCGACTATTATCGGTTAAAATTATAAATAAAATACTGAAAGCTGAAATTTCAGATTTCAACTTCAAGTATTTAATCCTCCAATCTAGGGGTGACTATTAGTTCAATTCAAACCAGAACCAAAACTGCTATTCCAAGTTCTGGTTCTGACTATTTTGGTTGGCTTCTCCCAGAATCCAGTAGCTTTATGGCCGGTTCATCGGCAAGTTCCTATCAGCCCCAGCTTGTCTCCACTCAAATTTTTTTTTATTATTATTACTTTTTCCAATTATGACTTAGTTTTCTTGGTTCTAGTTCCATGGATAACCAGTTCTCTGTGGTTCTTACATGAACCAATTCCAAACCGGAACCATAGGCACCCTATTTCAATCTTTAGCCTCCAATAATTATTCATAATTGCTAAGCCAAATAGACAAACTTATCCATAATAACAACAGGAGAATTTCTTGACACTCACTTATCGACTTATAAGGTATGAGAGGCTGGTAATTGAAGCTGAAAACTTGTGTTACATTGTTGAGATTTGGATGCTGGATAACAAGAGACCAGAGAGTGTAGTTCATTCTGTAGTTGAAGTTTACTATGGAAATCTTTACACGCCAGTACTCCTTATAATTAACCTTCACATGCCAGTGAACTCGAACCGGGCACATATGGTGTGTGCATTGCAGAAGAGAAGTTGTTTCGTTATTTGTATTGTTTGCTCCAACCACTTTGAGAATCTTCGAATCACGACTGCATCAATATTAATTTGGTATATCATTTAAATGTGCTTAATTGCAGAAATCACTATGTATCATAGATATTGAAAAATGGTGGCTTACTTGACACAAGTGTTATTGTTTTGGCAACCACAGGCACAAGTGGGGCAGGGGGTGATTTCCTGATTGTAGAAAGATGAGAAAGAGACGCAACAATTTGGGTTTTTCCTAGCCAGGAACTGTGAGTAAGTGCAGGTCACATTCCAAGTTACTGCATACAATAAAAGAATAGGAGAATCAAGATTGATATTCTTCAAGAAAAAGAAATAAAGGATGGTAATTTGAAACTAAGAGTAAATTGAAGTTACTGAGAGCCTGAGTTCTTCTGCGTCCATCAGGGGTGAGAAACTTGGAGGAAGGAACGAGTTTTGCAGGGCTACATGTGTATCCAGGGCCTGGACCCAGCATGGTGAAGTTCTTGGGCATTTTGACAGTCTTATTTGAAGTACCAGATAAACCAACAGTAATTTGGAACTGAGAGATAGAAGCTTTGGGATCTTGGCCCCAGGCTGATACAACTCCACCTTTACAGCAATTAGCAAATTGTTGATTGAAAGGAGCGCCAGGTAACAAGTCTACAACTACAGGATTTCTCTTGCAGCAATGAGGAATAATAGCTTTGAACTTGGAGCAGTCTCCTTGTTCTGCGGCTTGAGCACCAACCATGGACCATATTATTTCTTTCTTTGCCCATGTCCAGCCTATTTTCCATCCAGGGTCCATTATGTGCCTGAATGTTTGGAAATTGAATAGTGTCACTGTAGCCTGCAAAATCATCATCATCCATACAATTTAATCAAGGAAATTGTGACCAAATGTGACCAATATTATCGAAATTATTACTTACCGTGTAGCCATCTATAGTCCAAGCCACGATATCCCATTTGATAGTTACATTACCCATTGGATCCAAAGGATCATAAGCAGCTGTAATGGGAACCAATAACAAGAAATTGAATAAACAAGAATAAATTTAAATAAAAAAGAAAACTTAGCTACAGGAATAATTAGAATTTCACCTGCACAAGAAAAAAGAGCCAGAAAGAACAAACTTGATATTATAAATCTCATCTTAATTAATCCTACAGTGTTCTTGTTTTTGTTGATTAATGGTTCAAGAACTTGCAGAGATCAGTCTTAAAACTTCTTATAGTGTCAGGAGCTAGATTAAGTACTGGTTGTTAAATATTTTACATGTTTTAAAGATTTATTAATTTATACAAGCTTCGATTTTCTATCTTTCACTTTCCATATCGTAAAGCAACGGTTAGGTAAGAAGTGGCGGGAGAAACTTGGAGAGTTTCTGTTGAGCCTAACTGCCCAACGGTCCTGGCTCTTGGCGAATGTGACAGGCGATGCTGTTGTCACACCATGTCCTATTAATTATTAAACAAATAAAGAATTTTCGGAAAATCCTACTTATAAAATAAAATGACTAAATTACCCTTGAATTTATTTTTTTATTTTTTTTGTAAAATTTTTGACATGTGAAATTAATGAAGAGTTAATCCATTATTCAAATAATTTCTTTTAAATAATTACGAAAATTTATTTTAAGGCCATGGTTAACCATCAGAATTTATATTGGCCTTGTCTTGATAGCTAGAGAGTTACCTAAGCTGCAAACATAGGAGGAGGATTGATTTTACAGGCCATGATTAGAGGAAAATGCAAAATCCCCATCTTATGTGATTGATTACATATCAATTCTCATGCTAGATCTCTATGTGCCCCATCAGAAGTGCGAAGGAATTGGGTTAAAACCAGAATATTTTGATTTTTAAAATTAAATAATAATAATAATAATTTTTAATTTTTAAAAATTTTTAAGTATATAAAATTATATAATTTTAATACGAAAAAATAAGATAGATTTAATACGAAAAAATAAGTTTACAGTATTAATTCATAAAAATAAAAGAATTGATAAAAGGTCAAAATTGAAGGTTTATTTTTATTCTTAGCCCAATCAATGATCATTTATAGAATGTATGATTATATCATCCGATTCCAATTCTCCACTTCTAAAACTTTGCACACGAGGCTTGAAGAATTCACATCCAGAAAACTTGCAGGTAAAAATGTAGTTTGTCAACTTCTTACTAAAAGAATTTTTCTTTAAACATTTAAAGTTGGCTTTAACTTATTAATCCTAAACTTGTCAATTTCTAGAATATATTAATTTCTAATCCACAATCCAAAACAAGTTTATCACAAAATTTTTGTATTAAGTAATGAATATAAAAATCCTCAAAAGAAGGATAAAAGAATATTCAGAGTTCATCCAAAAAGCTTTAACTTGTCAGCAAGATAACCATAGAATATGTCAAACTTAACAATTTTATTTTATTTTATTTTTCTTTTCTAACAAAACAAGAGGCTAATGCCCCCAGTTTTTTCTGTGAAGTCAATTGGTTAACTCAGCCCACTGAAATTTGCAGCCCAGCAAAGACTATACCTGGCTGGCCAAGTTATTCTCCTGACCTGTATATATATTTGCAAAGGTTACATTTCTACATGTATATATCAAAATATTACCTTACAAAGCCATAATCAGTTTGCAATATCCTTTTAAGTGGGAGACAAGAAACAAATTCAAGCATCATCAATTACTTTCATTTTGGCAAACCACAACTACTTTCTAATGGGGCGGTGGATGAAGCCAGAGGTAAGCACTAAGCAAGCCACACATTATATCCATATATAGAAAATTATACAAATTACTTTTATTATATCAGTTATCGATCATATTTAAGCTATATTTGGTATGCCTTAACGGCTCATCAAATGTAGCTTACATGGCTTCTGATTCTGAAACTTTCTATTTTTAGTTAACAATTTGCTTCTTTTACTTTTAAATCCTGATTACTAGAGTACGCAATCTTATTATCGGCAAAAATGTATTACGTGATACATATTGGCTCCGTTCTTGCATGCACAGGTCTACCCACTATTGGCTGCGATGACTTTTGTAACAAGTATGTGTGTTTTCCAGCTTACAAGGAATGTGTTCTTGAACCCAGATGTCAGGTATATTCTTTGAGCTTCTTAATTAGCTAAACAACTAATTAATTACGTTTGATTTGTTTTTAATTTTCTAAGCCGATTAATATTGTTAATTTGATTAAAACAGGATTAACAAAGCTCACCGCCGGATGGCAGTGCTGGAAAATGAAGACGAAGGAGAGAAATATGCTGAGCATGGCCTCAGGAAATTTCTTCGCACACGTCCACCTGAAGTCATGCCTGCCATTAACCATTTCTTCTCTCAAGATGAATAAAATAAATTATTTGGTTAAAAATATTAAAATCCTCAATGTTCTACTGAGATTGCCTTGTAATTAGTCTTACGTGAATATATTGCGTTTCAATTAATAAGAATAAATCATGGGATTTGTTGTGTAATTCAAAACGACAATCAAAATGGCTTGTTCACATGCATAATCAAAGCTTTTCTTTCTTCTTTACTCGATAATTTATTATAATTTAAATAAATTTAATAGTTTTATTATAAGTTAGACAAATTTAATATAGTCAAAATATAAAAAACAATGTTTTGTGTCTCTTAAAACATTATGGCCTAAAAAATTTGTAGGCACTGTACATCAGTAAGAGAAAAACTTGAATCACATGATAATACATAAATTACTATTTAAGAAATCATAATATTAATCAATGTTTATATAATTATCTTATTGCTTAAAACAATCATTATTAAAATATTTATAAATGAGATTCGATTTTAAATTAACAAAATTAATTGAATTTCGCTAAAAAATTATATAATTGATATACTTTTTTTTGAAAGAAAAATACCTCATTCAATTGATATACTTAAACTTTAAAAAAATATAAAATTGATATAGCTAGACTTAATGAAAAAATAATTAATTATTTTATAGTATCATGGCCAGTCTCAACAATATAAATTATAATTAAATTAACTCATCTATATACTATACTAAAATAAATGGGCTGATTTAAGTAACGTTCGTTAAAAAAAAATAAACATGACTGAAATTAAATTTCAATAATAAATTAAAACTATATATATATATATATATTCTTATTCTCCATATAAAACATTAAAACGCACAGAGCGAAAAATATATATCTGGACATGAGACCCACAAAATATCATATGGAGATTATTTTTTATCATTTTACCATATGTTTTTCTACTGACATTTATGTCCATAAATGCTATCATTTTTTTCGGACAAAAGCCAAAAAGATCAATGTAGACTTGGATAGGATATGTAAGTAGCAAACAAGGATAAAATGGGTAATATTAAAAAGTGGCTAAACATATATTTTTGCTCTCGAACTATAACAAATTTGCCAATTGCACCCTAATATTAGTTACCTTTTATTTTGCGATTGTTAAAAATTCTGTTGAAATAGGAAATAAAAATATCCTTATGAAAATTTTAAGCAGTCTTTTGAAAAGGAAACTAATATTGGTGTAAATAAAGAAATTAATAATTAATAATATATAAGATGCAATGCACATGTTATATATGTAAACAAAATTTACCAAATCCACCCTAAAATTGGTTATTTTGTTTTGTTCCTATAACACACCACTTTATAAAAGTATGGAAAGTATGTTACAATATTTTTGTTCGCACAACGTGTTTTACAATATAAAAGCGGCTTCTTTAACAATACAAAGACAAGCCGCCAAAACTCTAAACTGAAAAGCTATAAAATACGCTTTTAACACACTTTCCTATGGATATGAACCTTAAACTTCTTTCTTTCCTAATGTTCTTTATTTCATTTTGGTTGGTCAAATCAAATCAAACATTTCCCACTTTGTTGCTTTTACCCGTTCCCAATTCACTATACTGTCTTACTTCCCCTGTTTCTCTGTTTTCTCTGTTTTTTCCGCCAAACAAAAAAGAACCGATAATTCCTATGCTAAATACACTCATTTCCTTCTTGTATCCATAACTTTTTTCCACTTTCTTTCAATTTCAAAACAAAAGAACTATCTTTTACATTTTCTCTAAATGGGTTATTCTCAAATTTTGATTTTGATCACATCTTCCTTACTTGTTGGAGTTGCTGTAACCTGCTCAAATGGAGATTGCAGGGTTTGTGTCTATTTAATTAAGTGTCAATCAAGAAACATTCTTATTCTTTTTTTTTTTTTTTTTAAGAATTGAAGATTAAGTTCTAATAGTTGAATTTTGTTTTATTATTTATTGTTACTATTAGCTATTAGATGAATGCTCTTCAGACCAAGATTGTGAAGGTGGACTTTATTGTTTTTCTTGTCCACAAGGATTTTCTGGTTCGAGATGTGTAAGATCAACCATCACCGACCAATTCAAGCTTCTGGTACCCTTTCTTATCTCTCTCTGTTTTCTTATCCAATATTGAAGGAGTAGGCAAATCGGCACTTTTCAATTTCCTTTTCAAGGGGTCATAAGTCACTACCAAATGATTTTTCTCATATTTTACTCTATCTTTTTATTTGATTGTGTAAACTAATAACAGACTATTTATTTATTTATTTATTTTTTTGATCTGTTGATAATAGAATAATTCTCTCCCTTTCAACAAGTATGCATTTTTGACAACACACAATGCTTATGCAATTGACGGATATCCATCTCACACTGGAGTTCCTAGATTCACATTTACCAATCAAGAAGACAGTGTCGCTCAACAGCTAAATGTATGTTTTTTTTTACCCTTTTTCTAGTAATATCAGTATTGAATTGTATTTTATCCTTTTAATTTACAATTTACTTGATTTTTTAAAAAAATTCTAGAATGGAGCTCGAGCATTGATGCTCGATACGTATGATTTTCGTGGAGATGTATGGTTATGCCATTCATTTAAAGGACAATGTCATGACTATACTGCATTTGTAAGTATATTAAAATATGGTTTTAGAATGAAATTCCTTTCTTTTAACGTTTTGGCAAAAGAATGGAATTCTTGTATATATTGTTTTCTTCTTTTCCAACTAGGGTCCTGCTATTGACACACTGAAGGAAATTGAAGCTTTCCTATCAGCAAACCCATCAGAAATTGTGACAATAATATTAGAAGATTATGTTCAAGCACCTAATGGATTGACCAAAGTGTTCACTGATGCTGGGTTGATGAAATACTGGTTTCCTGTTACAAAAATGCCCAAAAATGGACAAGATTGGCCTCTGATTAGTGACATGGTCAAAAACAACCAAAGGCTTCTCGTTTTCGGTTCTATTAAATCCAAGGAAGAAACTGAAGGAATTGCTTACCAATGGAATTACATGGTTGAAAATCACTGTAAGTTATTCCCATTTTCATTGTTAACATTTCTTCACTGCAAGTTACGGAAAATATTGTCATTTTGCTTTGCAGATGGGGAAGATGGAATGAAAGCAGGAAGTTGTTCTAACAGAGGAGAATCATCTCCTCTTGATGACAGGAGTAAATCCTTGGTGCTAGTAAATTATTTTGGGTCTATTCCTTTGAAGGATCTCAGTTGTGCAGATAATTCAGGAGATCTCATAAATATGCTTCATACTTGTTATGGTGCTTCTGCAAATAGATGGGCTAATTTTGTTGCCGTTGATTATTACAAGGTACCATTCTTGCAATTTATCTTCATTAATTTTCAAGAAAGCTCAAGTCAAGTGAGATTTTATTGCTTATTAGGTTTAATTTCTTCTGCTAAGAATAATTAATAAATGCAGAGGAGTGAAGGAGGAGGATCATTCCAAGCAGTGGACACATTGAATGGGAAACTATTGTGCGGTTGTGATGACATCCATGCATGTGTGGTAATTAAGCAATTATTTTCCATTATTTTGGCTGTAATATTGTAAATAAATTATTGAACTTTCTTCTTCACCTTGTTTTTGCAGCCTGGATCAACTTCAAGAGCTTGCACCTCATAACAAGAGCGAAGCAAAGAATATATATTATGCGGATAAAGTTTAAATAATTAAGGAAAGAGCTAAATTCTAACAGGTCGTTGGAACCTTTGAACCTGTACTTTTTTTTTTTTTTTTTTTTGAAAAGCATTATTTGGCTGTAATATTGTAAATACAACTTATTTGAACTTTCTTATTCACCTTGTAAATTTTGCAGGCCTTGGATCAACTTCGAAAAGGAGCTTGCACCTCAATAACAAGAGCGAAGCAAAAAGAACCTATTATTATTATGCGATAAAGTTTAAATAATTAAGGAAAGAGCTAAATTTCTAACAGCGTCCGTTGGAACCTTTGAAACCTGTACCTTTTTTTTTTTTTTTGTCTGAAAATAAGAGAAGGGTGGAAAAATAAGATAAACACAGTTTTAAGTAGTGACCTCTTTGTTTAAATTCTCAGTCCGGAAAAATAACTATTCCAATTTGTTTGTAGAATTCTTAATAAGATTTAGAGATTTTGTTTCTTTTTACAATAAAATTTAACCTAGATTCCCTCATAGGAATCCAATAATTCTTCCAAACCTAAGTCAACCATAGAAAACGGGTTAAACAGTAAATGATACAATGTTTGCAAACTCATGTGAATAGAACATGAGAATATTTTTTTTTTTTTTTTTGTCTGAAAAGAGAAGGGGGAAAATGATAAACACAGTTTTAGTAGTGACTCTTGTAAATTTCAGTCGGAAAATAATATTCCAATTTGTAGAATTTTTAATAAGATTTTTGAGAGATTTGTTCTTTTTACAATAAAATTTAACCTTAGATTTATAGAATCCAATTTCTTCCAAGACCCTAGTCACCATGAAACTTAAACGAAGACTTCAATTTTGCACTGAATAGTAACAAGTATATAAAAGAGTTTGTAACAGGAAATTCATCTCCAGATATATCCTTTACTGTAACTATAAAAAATAAAAATGGCAGCAGATTATCGATCGGTGTCTTCTGATTATTCTTTTCACGTCTATGTAAAGTGAGAATTCTAGTATTCGAATCATCTCCGCTACAAAAATTATCAACGATTTAATAAATGTTATTCAAAGGAGAATGCTACCCTTATTGTTTGTTGGGCCACCAATTGATAACTGCCTTGCAATTAATATTAAATAATATGGTAATAAAATGGAAAATACATAAAATTTTGAAAATATATGAGATTACATATTAGGCCTTAAAAAATCATAATTAGCTTTAATAGGCATTTTTTTAAAACTAAAATAGGTAATCTTTCATAAGAAGAAACAATTAATCTGTAGCCATATCAGTCTTTGTTGTTTCACTTACAGTCACACGCTCACACTATGACTGTAACAGAGTTTCCATTTTTATTTATTTGTTTTTTGCTTTACTGTGTTGTCGTCCAACTCGAATGTACTCATTCATCAACAAGCCTTCCCCCAACATTTTACCTTTCGTTCTCATTTTCTCCTCTCTCCCTCTCTCACCCTCTCTCTGATTGGACACACAACCCATTTTCAAAATTTTCTGTCAAAAATTTTAGCATATTCAGAGCCTCTTTGTTTGGTGTCTCTGAAAATTCTTGTGAAGTGTTTCCTCTCGTTTTCTCTGCCAAACACCCATCTTCTGTCTGACAAAAATGGGTTTTTCTCAGAACTGGATTTTACTTACAGTTTCAGTCATTACTGCTGCTTCAGCATTAGCTTGCCCCAGTGAACCCTGCAAGGTTAGTTTGAACTGTGAAGCAATACTTTCTTGTTTTCGAGGCTTTTTAAGGTTACAGAACGCAATTAATCTAATTTTTGGCTTGGATGCTTTTAATTAGCTATTGGATAAATGCTCATCTGACCAAGATTGCAAAGATGGACTCTACTGTTTCTTTTGCATTGAAGACTTTTCATCTTCCAAATGTGTTAGATCTTCTGCTACGAGCCAATTCAAGCTTCTGGTACTCTGTCTTTCTTTATCCCCTGTTTTTTTACTTCTGGTACCAATTCAATCAGATTCTTGGTTTCTTAATTAACCTGGATAACTTTTATATAAGTAATTCTGTAGTTTCAAAAATCACCCAGACCAAAATTATTTTTTATTTTACGTTTTTCTTATTTATTTGTCTCTTTGAATTGAAGCTTTGCAACTATGAGTCAAATAATTATTTATGAGTTAAAAAGACATATTCATTTTTTATATAAAAAATAGTAAATAGTGGTATGGATTTTTTTGAAGTGTTCTGGTCATCAATCATTCACAAACAAGTCTCTCGTGCAATTTCTTGGAACTTCACAAAAAGTCACAACCAAGTTGTGGTTGGGAATTTTATTAAAAAAAAGAATCGAATTTAAATTTTAAAAATATCAATTGAATCGAGTTATTCAAAATTTTAATAAATTTTTTATAATATAAAAAATATATTTTCATAATATATTTGGTTTTCGACGTGAGCCTCTCACACATTTTAAATATGAGATTAATTTCCTTTATTGATTCATGTTTTTTTCATGAACCAGTCTTAATTTTACAGAAATTGCTTTCTAAAAAATATTAATCTATTTCTATAGAAACAAAATCCAACCACAATAACTGAAGATTTACAAATAAAATCAAATTGGACTGAATTATTAGAATCCAAACATAAAATATTTACTCACCCCTAACTGGGCTGTACTCTGGCCTATTTCTGAGATAGATTATCAAAGAAAGCCCACTATCTGGGCTTTTTCCTACACGGTACAAACTCTCAAGCTTAATTCAATACAGAAACAGCAATTATCCAGGGAAATTTTAGTTCCTAATTAAAAAGGGGTTAGAACCTTCTAAAATATGATTTAAGATACTAAGTTACTAATTGTTTGTTGATATTTTTTTAAAAAATATTATTTAATCTTTAATAATTTTATTTAGTCTTTCACCAACTGTTTCTATTGCTCCTCTTTCTGAATAGAATAATTCTCTGCCCTTCAACAAGTATGCATTTTTGACAACCCACAATGCTTTTGCTATTGATGGCTATCCAATTCATACTGGACTCCCTAGACTTACTGTTACCAATCAAGAAGACACTGTCACTCAACAGCTAAATGTATGTTTTCTGCTTCTTTCTCTTCCAATTTTCCATATGCATATTAATTATAAGTTCATTACTAAGACATCTTTTTTTCTATTTTTCTGTTATTGATTCTTAGAATGGAGTTAGAGCCTTGATGCTCGACACGTATGATTTTCGAGGAGATGTTTGGTTGTGCCATTCATTTAAGGGACATTGTTATGACTACACTGCATTTGTATGTTATTTATTTCTCAAAATATCTTCTGAAATTTTCTTCTGAAAATGGATCTTTTTGATATTTATATTTTGGCATCCATAGTAGGGGCCTGCTATTGATACCTTGAAGGAAATTGAAGCATTCTTATCGGCAAATCCATCAGAAATTGTGACAATAATATTAGAAGATTATGTTCAAGCATCTAATGGATTGACAAAGGTGTTCACTGATGCTGGTTTGATGAAATATTGGTTCCCTGTTACAAAAATGCCTAAAAATGGCAAGGATTGGCCTCTAGTCAGTGACATGGTAAAAAATAACCAAAGGCTTCTTGTTTTCACTTCAATTAAATCCAAAGAAGAAAGTGAAGGAATTGCTTATCAGTGGAACTACATGGTGGAAAATCAATGTAAGAAGTTCCATACTTCAAGTAGGAAAAAACTTGCCTAGACTGGGTCTGTGATCCCGTTTATGCATATTTTAATATATTTTTTCAAGGCTTGATTAATTATTTTGTGCAGATGGGGATGGTGGCATGCATGTGGGAAGTTGCCCTAATAGGGCAGAGTCATCTTCTCTTAGTGACAAGAGTAAATCATTAGTTTTGGTAAATTACTTCAGGACAATTCCCATGAAGGAACTCACGTGCATTGATAACTCAGGAGGTCTCATTAACATGCTTCATACCTGTTATGGTCCTGCTGGCAATAGATGGGCTAACTTTGTTGCTGTGAATTATTACAAGGTATGACTTGAAAAGTTATTTACATGTTTCTATTCGAGTCTTTAAAACTCGTGAAAAGGGATCTAAAGTACCAAATATCCTACATTTGTGAGCTATGGAAAAGATTGATTTACATCTAATCTTTTAGGTCACAAGTGGAATAACTTTACCGTTACATCGAAACTATTCTCTGAAAACCTGTGAAAAAATATTTCATAATATAAAGAGATATTTCTTTTTTATTTTTACTATGCAGAGAAGTGAAGGAGGAGGATCATTCCAAGCTGTGGATACACTCAATGGAAAGCTCTTGTGTGGATGTGATGATATACATGCATGTGTGGTAAGCTATAAATTTTGGAATTAATTGGATTATTTCTTAATTAAAATCATATAAATGAAAGAAGTTAAACTTCACAATTTAATCATTAACCTCATTT